TGGTATTGTGAGAAGGAAGGGCACCCCTGGTTTTTGTGCTATAAGAAACCCGATGGATGGACCCCCCAGAATCGTCACCAGGATGGCGGCGCGCGGAGGAACCAGAAAAACGGCGCCAACATGGTCGCTGATTCGTCCGACAACAACCCGAAAGGCAACGGCGGTGCAGAAAAGAAGAAGGAGCGCACCGCGGGCCAATTCTTCCATATGGGAGACAAGGGGGAGCAAGGAGACGCATCTGCTAAGGCTGGAGCAGAGCTGCACCCCCTGGACTATTGGGTGTTGGACACGGGCGCTGCTTGGACAATGACGCCGCGCAAGGACCTGTTGGACGACGTACGCGCTGCACCGATTAATGAGGTGTGCTCTGCCTCTGGACACATGTTGAAGGTGGCTGGTGCGGGACGAGCTGCGTTTAAGGGAGCGGATGGCAAGCCAGTGGTGCTGCACGACGTTCTTCTTGTTCCTGAACTTAAGGCCAACCTCATCTCCCTTCGCAAGCTTGGCAAGTCTGGGGTGAGCACTAGATGGATGGGGCACGCACTTATAAGGGGAAGCTGGGCAATCGGGTGCTTTGGGATCTGCACGAGAGCAAGGACGTGTACAGATCTATGTGGCCGCTGCCGGCGCTGGCGTGGCACGGTGGGGGGCAGGCTGGAGAGGGGTCTGCATCCCAGGGGGAGTGCAACGCCGTTGGAGGGGTTGGTGTGAAAGTGTCGGCCAGATCTGGGGAGACGGATTGGGCAACTGCACACCGACGTTTGGGGCATGTGGCAATGCCTTTGCTGAAGCAGCTGGAGAAGGATGGAGCCGTTAAGGGCTTAAAGCTGAACGGACAACCACCCGATGATAACTGTGAAATTTGCCTCCTTTCAAAGTTCACCCGTTTCCCCTTCCATAGTGTGGCTGGCAGGAGCAAAAAGCCGTTGGAGCTGGTCCACATGGACTTGGTGGGGCCGCTGCCGGTGCAAGGGCACAAGGGGGAGCGGTACTTCCTAACCATAGTGGATGACTGGAGCAGGCTAATGTGGGCGTATCCGCTGAAGCAGAAAGATCACGCCGCCTCCACGATTCGGGACGATTGGCTGCCGTTCGTGGAGAAGCAAGCGGAGTGTGTGGTGAAGCGGATTAGGATAGATCGGGGTGGTGAGTTCCTTGGAGCTGAGATGACAGCCTGGCTCAAGAAGAAGGGCATCCAGAGGGAGCTGACCACGGCTTACACCCCACAGTCCAACGGTGTAGCAGAACGGGCGAACCGGACAATTCTGGAGACAGCTAGGGCACTGCTCATAGAATCTGGGCTGGGCAACTTGATGTGGCCCCATGCTGTTCGGCACGCTACCGTCGCTAGAAACAGGGTACTCACAAAGGTTGGGGATGACTCGTGGGTGCCGTTGGAGAGGTGGCTTGGGAGGAAGCCGCCGGTGGACATGCTGAGGGTGTTCGGTTGCATGGCAGTCGCCCACGTCCCCAAGACCTACCGCAGTATGTTGGGGGCGAGTGCAATCTGGTGTGTGCATTTGGGGCTGGCTGCTGAGAGCAAGGGATGGCTCCTGTGGGAGCCTTCCAAGGGTGTGTTGTTTGACAGCAGGGATGTGAAGTTTGTTGAGGGCATGATGTATGGGAGCTGGGAGAAACAGCCGGAGGCCAGGGTGTCCCAGCAGATGGAGCAGATCACCATGCAGCTGGACCTGACTCCTAGTGTGTGGGAGGAGGGAGAGGAGGCAGCTACAGAGGGTGGTGATGGAAAGAAGGTACAGGAGGCACCTGCTGGTGGAGAAAACAATGGTGTGGAGACTAGCGGTAGCACTAGTGGAGCTGCTGGATCCGACGGAGGAGAGCAGCAGCAGGGGAAAACTAAGAAGCCGAAGGGTGTTGTTATGAAGGGATGGGAGACACCCGTCTCCAGGCCAGGACGTACCCGTATGGCTACTAAGAAGCTGACTGCAGGACCTGATGTAGCGGAGCAGCAGCTTGGGACTGAGGAGGCATTGCTGATTCTACCGCATGGCTATGACCCGGATGAGGAGGATGAACCTGCGTACTGTTTTCTTGCCCCTGCACCAGAGGAACTAGCTAGCATGGAGGAGGCATTAGCTGGACCAGATAGGGAGAAGTGGCTGGTTTCCAGGGATGCTGAGTACCAGAGCCTGCTAGAGAATGGGACATGGGAGCTGGTGGTGCTGCCTGAGGGGAAGAAAGCCGTACAGTGCAAATGGGTGCTAAGGATCAAGACCGATGACAAGGGACAGGTCACCATCTACAAGAGTAGGCTGGTGGCTAAGGGGTTTATGCAGAAGGAGAAGCGGGACTTCAATGAGATCTTTGCTCCCACTGCCAAACCCCCTACCCTCCGTGTCTTGTTGGCAGATGCAACCGTTAGTGGGAAATTCATCATTCAGATGGATATATCAACGGCATTCCTCAATGGGATTTTAGAGGAGGATGTGTACATGACGTAGCCACCTGGGTATGAGGATGGTACGGGCAGGGTGTGCAAGCTGAAAAAGTCCATCTACGGCTTGAAGCAGGCGCCACGCTGCTGGTACCAGAAGTTGGCAGCTGTTTTAGAGGAGATGGGATTCAGGACCAGCAGCTGTGATGAGAGCCTCTTTCTCAAGGGGGAGGGGGAGAAGCTGGTGCTGTTTCTGGTCTATGTGGACGACATTCTTCTCTTTAGCAGCAGCATGAAGGAGATCCAGAAGGTGCAGCAGCAGCTGATGGAGAACTTCAAGTGCAAGAACCTTGGGGAGGTAAAGTACTACCTCGGGATGCACGTGGAGAGGGATCCAGATCACAGGTGGTTGAAGCTGCACCAGGAGAAGTTCATCAAGGAGCTTGGGGAGAAGTACGGAATTGAGAATGAGCGCAAGTTTGCGACTCCCCTGCCAGCAGAATTCAAACTTGTGAAAGCTGCAGAGGATGAAGGGGTTGAAGCCGAGGAGCAGCAGCAATTTCAGTCCTTGGTGGGCAGCCTCTTGTATGCAGCAGTTCACACGAGACCCGACATCTCTTTCTCGGTTGGGCAGCTGGCTAGGGTGGTGCAGAATCCATCAGAGGAGCAGGTGGATGCAGTTGAGCGTGTGGTGAAGTATCTGAACTCTCACCCAAGCATTGGAGTTCAATACTCCGCATCTGCACAGGTGAAGCAGAAAGGGGTTGAGGTGCTGAAAGAGAAGGGGGAGAGGCTTGGAGAAGGCAAGCTTTTTCTCACTTGCTTTACCGATGCTACGTGGGCCTCTGAGAAGGAGGATTCCTCATCTGTGGGAGGATACATCTGCGTAGTTGGGGGAGGACCGGTTAGTTGGAGGTCAAAGAAACGGACAGAGACAGCACTCTCTTCCGTGGAGTCAGAGTACATGGCGATGTTCCATGGGGTGAAGGAGGTGATTTGGCTGAGGAGGCTGTTGGAGGAGATTGGCCAGGAGCAAAAGGTTGCTACGCCGCTGTTTTGTGATAGCAAGGGGGCTCTTGGGATGGCCAGGAACGCTGTGCTTCATGGGCTGAATAAGCACATGCGTATCAAGTGGCACTGGCTGCGTAAGGAGGTGAAGAGGGGGACGGTGAATCCGATCTACATCAAGACTCACCAGCAGCCAGCAGACTTCTTCACCAAGAGGCTTGCGGATGAGCCTCATTGGCGTTGTGTGCGCATGAGTGGAATGAGCATGAACTAGTATGGAATGATGGGGATGCAGCCGGCAGGCTGAGGGGGAGTGTGTTGGGTGCAAATTCACATTGCACAACATCCTGCCGTCTGTTTGTACGAGTATGTGTGTGCGAATGCATTTGCGTGTGAATGGTATGTTCGTGTGTTTGTTTGCTTTCGCAATTTTCGCTTGAAGCATTTGCAGGTACTCGCACAATGTGCGCTTCGGCATAACATTGTACGCGCTATGAACAGTACAAGCAGAAAGGACGAGCTCGCAAAGGAACCCAAGATGGAAGCTTTGCGGTTCAACTTACTTGATTGCGCAGATTCAGTTCTATCCAACTCGAAATTGTACTGTTTTGTTTGGTTGACTATAGTGTAGCAGGGCAGGCACTATAGAGGTACAATTTAGGTGAAGGTTGGATGTTGTTTGTCTGTATCTGCATGCTACAGGGCCAGGGGAAACCAGCGGAACCAGCATTTGGCTGGTTGGGCAAAGACAAAACAGGTTCTGTTTTTAGGACCTGAACCTGGTTGTTGTTTTCCCAGGTTGGAAAAACAGAACCAGAGGTTGTTTACCAACCTACCACCTGCTATTTTGTCCAGCCAGGTTGGTTCTGTTGCTTGGAAGTATTTGGGATCATCCCTGGTTGTTCCCAGGTTGATTCCCAAGGTCCTTGCTAGCTAGAGCTATTTATTCCTTCTCTGTTTGTACCTGAATATAGTGAAATTGATTCAAGCGAATTCCTCCCTTCCTGGAATTTCGTTTCTACGCGGTGCGACGGCGGAATGCTACCCGAGTCAACGCTAGTACGCTAGCACTCCAACGCTAGGCTAACGCTGTCCGAGCCATAACTTCGTAATGGCAAAACTTTTCGCGAGGCAACTTGGCTTATTTTAAAGCTCTTAGAGTGAGCTTCGATATAGGAAATTCTCAGCTTAATCCGATCTATGGTCTGCACGATACGCTGCCCGACGCTCAAGGTACTCTTGCTGTTTTGACTAAGTCCCTCTAGATCCCTCTCTCTACAAACTCGGACCCGAGGATAGGTTCTAAGTCCTTGGGTGCCTGGTCTTGTACCAGGCACCCAAGGACCCTTGGAGGTGACCCCGAGGAGAGGTTTTAAGTTTGATAAAGTCTTAATAGCTTGAGTTTATTAGGCCCTTACACCAACAACCCCCCCCCCCCCCCCCCCGCAACCTCCGCCGTGCGCGTCTGACCGCCGTTTCCCCCCTGCTGCTCCCTCAGCGCCGCCGCGTGGTTGTGTCCCTCCTCCTCCCCGAAGCCGAGCTGCAAGCGCACCGCACCGCGATTTTTGCCGGCATCAACGCAATGCTGTGCGGTTTCATGTTCGAAACTGGCATCACCCCGCCTTTTGAGCATACCGTAGGTGACCCCCTCCGCATGGCCCGCCGCGTCTACGGCCGCCTGCAGTTTTCATGGCCGTCGCAGGCGGACGCAACCGCCTTCCGCAGGCTGTTCCCCCTCTCGCTCAAACTCCCCAACTCCCGCCCCGTTCTGCTGAAGGAGTTCGTGGACAGATTCGAGGAGTTTACTGCACCTAAGGCTGCAGGCACTCCCACCCTCTCTATCCGTAACGTCCCTATGGAGTACGCGCCAGAGGATATCCGTACCTTCCTCCTGGACTCCATTGAGCCGGACGGTGCGCACTGGCTCGCCGATTTGACCAACTTCCACCGCGCCTCTGACCCTTATGAGGGTACCTACTTCACTCACCTCGCTGGGCTCCCAGTCGCCACCCCCGACGACCCGCATTTCAATCTTATTCCATTCGAAATCCTGTTGGAGGTCAACACACCTCCCATGTTGCTGAATTTCTCCTGCCACGTGTGCGCGCTATGCTCCAACAACCACCGCGCGTCGGATCACGCGGCGTTCGCGGCCCGCGGCCGCCAACGCGTCACGAACCGGAACACTATTTCAATCGCGCAACTGCAGCAGGGAAATGGTACGCAAAACACCTTTTCTGTTTTCGTTGCTAACTTTCCTCGTTCCCGCTCTCATCCCTCACTTCCAGTTTGCTCCCCATTTCTCCTTGTACGTTCCCCCTTTGCCCTCCAACCTGCCTCCCCCCCCCCCCGCGACTCACCTTTTTCCTGCCCATCAACTAACCTGCTCCCCCCCCTCCCCCGCGCTCACCTTCCAATATCCCTATGTCCTTCTACGCCCCCCTCCCCCATTGTCTTTCCTCTCTTGCTCCCCACGGTTGCCCACGCCCTGGCCACTCCCCTAACCAACCGGTTTGTGCCCCCTCCCCATGTTATCCCCCATCTCACCACCCATCCAGAGCCCACTGTTGGGTGCAAATTCACATTGCACGACATCCTGCCGTCTGTTTGTACGAGTATGCGTGTGCGAATGCATTTGCGTGTGAATGGTATGTTTGTGTGTTTGTTTGCTTTCGCAATTTTCGCTTGAAGCATTTGCAGGTACTCGCACAATGTGCGCTTCGGCATAACATTGTACGCGCTATGAACAGTACAAGCAGAAAGGACGAGCTCGCAAAGGAACCCAAGATGGAAGCTTTGCGGTTCGGCTTACTTGATTGCGCAGATTCAGTTCTATCCAACTCGAAATTGTACTGTTTTGTTTGGTTGACTATAGTGTAGCAGGGCAGGCACTATAGGGGTACAATTTAGGTGAAGGTTGGATGTTGTTTGTCTGTATCTGCATGCTACAGGGCCAGGGGAAACCAGCGGAACCAGCATTTGGCTGGTTGGGCAAAGACAAAACAGGTTCTGTTTTTTAGGACCTGAACCTGGTTGTTGTTTTCCCAGGTTGGAAAAACAGAACCAGAGGTTGTTCACCAACCTATCACCTGCTATTTTGTCCAGCCAGGTTGGTTCTGTTGCTTGGAATTATTTGGGATCATCCCTGGTTGTTCCCAGGTTGATTCCCAAGGTCCTTGCTAGCTAGAGCTATTTATTCCTTCTCTGTTTGTACCTGAATATAGTGAAATTGATTCAAGCGAATTCCTTCCTTGCTGGAATTTCTTTTCTACGCGGTGCGACGGCGGAATGCTACCCGAGTCAACGCTAGTACGCTAGCACTCCAACGCTAGGCTAACGCTGTCCGAGCCATAACTTCGTAATGGCAGAACTTTTCGCGAGGCAACTTGGCTTATTTTAAAGCTCTTAGAGTGAGCTTCGATATAGGAAATTCTCAGCTTAATCCGATCGACGGTCTGCACGATACGCTGCGCGACGTTCAAGGTACTCTTGCTGTTTTGACTAAGTCCCTCTTGATCCCTCTCTCTACAAACTCGGACCCGAGGATAGGGGCTGGTCTTGTACCAGGCACCCAAGGACCCTTGGAGGTGACCCCGAGGAGAGGTTTTAAGTGTGATAAAGTCTTAATAGCTTGAGTTTATTAGGCCCTTACACCAACACCCACTGCCCCCCCTCTCTGGACCTCCTCTCTTGCCAACCCCCTCTCCCATGTACCTTTTCTCTACCCGCACCCCCCCGCCGCCCGGCTCTCCCCCACCCACCCGCTCACCTAGCACCGCCACCCCCTCTCTTCCCTCCTCAACCCAAGCAGGTTTTTCTCCCCCCGAACCACCCCGCTCCAGCCACTTCTCAAATCCTCCCCACCCCATGTGTCATTCCCCCCTCAGGCCCGGTCGGACCTCCGCCCACCCATAAACTCACTCCATACCCGTCGCGTCGCCCTAGGACCCGCGCGACGCCCTGCCCTGCCCGTCGCGTCGCCCTAGGACCCACCCGACCCCCTGCCCTGCCCGTCGCGTCGCCCTAGGACCCGCGCGACGCCCTGCCCTGCCCGTCGCGTCGCCCTAGGACCCGCGCGATGCCCTGCCCTGCTCGTTGTGTCGCCCTAAGACCCGCTCGACACCCTGCCCTGCCCGTCGCGTCGCCCTAGGACCCGCTCGACGCCCTGCCCTGCCCGTCGCGTCGCCCTAGGACCCGCGCGATGCCCTGCCCTGCCCGTCGCGTCAACCTAGGACCCGCGCGACGCCCCTTTCCTGCCCGCGCACCGCCCTTTTGCAGCCCGCGCGCCTCCCTGCTAGACGCGCGCCGCCCCTGCCTGCCCGCACGCCGGCTTCTGCAGCCCGCGCACCGCCTTGCTGCCCACGCTCCACCCTGTCGAGCCGCCGCCGTTGTCGAGCCGCCGCCGCCGAGCCGCCGCCTCCGAGCCGCTGCCGAAGTCGAGCCGCCGCCGCTGTCGAGCCGCCGCCGCCGAGCCGCCGCCGCTGTTGGGCCGCCGCCGTCGAGCCGCCACCGCCGTCGAGCCGCCGCCGCCGTCGAGCCGCCGCCGCTGTCGAGCCGCCGCCGCCGTCGTGCCGCCGCCGTTGAGCCGCAGCCGCAGCTGGACTCTTCCCTTCTCGTCACTGGTGAGCACTGCCCTGCCCGTACTGCTGCTACTGCTACTCCTCGCGGTGACCAGCTGCAGCTCCAACGACGTCCACGTCAGTCCCTCCCGCCCCAGCAGCTTCGTGAGTGGTACGCCTTGTCGGGGAGGCCGTAGTGGGAGTCGTCCTGGAGTGAGTAGTTCGGGAGCTCCTTGTAGTGGCCAGGTGCAGCTGCAGCGTCGTCCGCGCGAGACCCTTACGCCCCAGCAGCTTCGCGAGTGGTACGCTCAGAGTAGAGGGTCACTGGGGACTGCTCGTTGCCCGTACGTCATTCGCACGGGTGTCCGAACTGGTCAGCCTTGCGGGACTCCTGGTCACACAGAGTCCTGCTGCTTCGCCTGTCTGAGTGACGCTTGGCTTACTGAGTTTGGCGACGATGCTGAGCTCCCCTCCTGGCTGGAGCTGCTTAGGCAGAGGGTAGATATCTTTGCTCTTGACTATGATGCTCTTCTCACTGCAATGTATGCATTGTCTACTAGTACTGAGGGTGCCTGTCACCTGTGTGTGCCGCCTCACCCCGGTATCCAGTCTGCTGCTCTAGGTGCTGGTGAGGCTGCTGCTCTAGGTGCCAGTGAGTCTCCTACTCCAGGTGCTGGTGAGTTTGCTCTCTCTGGTGTTGCGCCTGCTGCGGTCTTGCACACCTTCACCCTTGACTCGGGTGCCTCCGGCTCCTTCTTTCGAGACCGCACCACCCTCACACCACTTAGTCGGCCGGTTGCAGTCTCCTTAGAAGACCCCTCCGGGGGTCCTGTCCTTGCTCACTACTCCACTGTGCTACCGTGTCCGGCGGCCCCGTCTGGCTTCCTGTCAGGTCTTTACCTCCCCTCGTTCTCTACAAACTTGGTGAGTGGTGCTGACCTGCAAGATAGAGGGGTTGACCACTTCACTCCTGCGAGTCAGCGAGTAACCCACTGCACATGTGCTCAGACGGGCCGACACTTGGCCACGTTTACCCGTCAGCCGGGGTCGAGCCTGTACACACTGACTACTGAGTCTCCTCCGGACGCTGAGTCTGGTCAGGTAGCTGCGTCGGGTCAGGTGTTTGCTGCAGCGTCCAGGTCTGGTCCTGAGTCTGCCCCCTGCTCGTGTCGTCTCCTGTCTCACCAGACTCTCTTCTGGCACCACCTACTTGGTCACCGACTTGGTCAGCGACTTGGAATGATTGAACTAACAGTGAAATCAGTACAAGTACCTAATCCTAGAATTGTGTACCCCCTATAGGCTAACCCATTGTAGCCTAAACAAGCACAACATATATAATGTTTGACACACCCCCATAGGCGAAGTGGGGGACAACTAGGGGTCACAAGACCAGTCAAGTAAAGCAAAGCAAAGCAAGCTCAGGGTGGATCACAAAGTCACCACACATTCCGAGCACAAGTTCAAGGCCACAAGGCCAGTTCACATGCAGGAGTACATATATATATAAGGCTAGACAAGCAAGAGCAGGTATATATATGTGTAACAGTACATGTAAGGTCAAGAGGTGAGCAAGTGAGGCAAGACAGGCACAAGACCCAGCTGGGTGCAGAAGCGCTGATGATCACAAGGCGCAAGTGCCTTGGTGAAGATATCAGCAGTGTTGGCCTCAGAGGCCACGTACGCAAGCCGCAACTGACCACGTTGCTGTAGCTCACGAGCAAGGAAGTAGCGGAGAGCAATGTGCTTTGTTCTGTGCTCCAGTCTCTGCTCTCGACACAAGGCCAGCATGGCCTTGTTGTCTACGTACAGTACTGGAGGAGAACGAGGTGGCTCTCCAAGGTCGGTCAACAGGTAGGTGAGCCAGCAAAGCTCCTGAGCAGCCATGGCCCCTGCGTAGATCTCAGCCTCACAACTGGAGCCGAGAACAGAAGACGAGCGAGTAGCCCGCCACGAAACAGAGCCGGAACCAAGGCTGAAGGTGTAACCCTGTGACGACCGCTGCGTAGCCTGGTCGTCAGCCCAAGAAGCGTCTGCGTGACCAGTGAGGACCACTGGACTCCGCCCTCCAAGCACTAGCCCCATGCCCGACGTACTGCACAAGTAGCGCAACACCCTCTTCGCTGCAGCCATGTGCTCTGGTCGGTGTCTCCCAGGAGAAACATATCATGCGAGAATGCTAAGAGGGTATGCAAGGTCAGGTCGTGTGCAGGTCATCAGGTACATGAGGCAGCCAACAAGCTCTGGGTACGGGCCACTCGACTCTACGGACTCATCCGAAGGCAGAGCTGAGAGCGAGTGGCGAGTAGGCAGAGGAGTGGCCTGAGGCGAGGAGTACGTGAAGCCGAAGCGCTGAAAGACCTGCTGCACCATGTGTGACTGAGTCAGGGTGATGGCGCGGCGTGCTCTGTTCCGGGTGATCTGCAAGCCAAGGTGGTTGCGCAGTTCACCCAGGTCTGTGCACGTGTGTCTCTTCTGCAGCTCGGACTTCACGTGGGCAAGTCCAGCAGTGTCAGCTGTGGCAAAGACCAAGTCGTCGACGTACACGAGGATGTAGAACGGCGGCAGAGAATTGTCGGTGCGTAGAAACAGCGACGGGTCGGCAGTAGAAGGAGCAAACCCAAGAGCCGCAAGCGTAGTCCTCAGTGTGTCGTGCCACTCACGCGGTGCCTGGTGGAGACTGTAGACTGGCCGCCAGAGGCTCCACTCGGTTCCAGGAGGAGAAGTCCTAGTGAAGCCAAGTGGGCGGCACAGGCAGATCTCCTCGTGCAGGCTGCCCTGCAGGAAAGTAGTGCTGAAGTCAAGAGAGTGTAACTCGTAGTCACGGTGAGCAGCTTAACTCCACGGAACGCACGACCTTTTTCTACGCTCCGTAGTACTTTGCCCAACTTCTCAGGTACGTGAATGCTTTCTAAAGGCTTTTTCTTAGCATCTAAATCTCCCCT